AAGCTGACTGTCTGTCTGGTTACTCACCAACTAAAGTGTCTAATGCTGTGGTGCGGAGAGGAGATCTGCCCCTGCTGTAGTAACCCGTATTGGGCTGCATGGTTTACATGTAGAACCTGCACTCCCCCTTTCAGCTTGGCTTGCTACCCTGCTTAGCTCTGACTTAGACAAGCCTGTTTTGGTCAAAGGTCTAACGCTTTGCAGGAGCAGGACGGACTGTTTCGGACCTTTGCTTGCCTCTGGGACACTGCTCAGGTGTGTTCTCATCTCTGAGCATGAGCTGATTCTCTTGGTCATGCTGGAGTGCCTGGCGCATGAGAGGTGTGTCATGCAGAGCATCTGTCAAGTTTCAGAGATAGGCAAACTGGGTGTTGTCTCTTGCCGGGAACACAGCAGAGGCCCCCTTGAGCCAGGTCTGGCCCAACTCCTCAGTTCAAAACTGACTGGGGCCCTAAAACCCTTCCGGTGGAAGTAGGCGGTTCTCCCTACTGAGATGTGTCTCTGTGTGTGCCTTTGCAGGGAGCCAGCCAAGATGTATGCTGTGTACAAGCAGGCGCACCCTCCCACGGGGCTGGAGTTTTCCATGTACTGCAATTTTTTCTCCAATTCTGAACGCAACTTGGTGGTGGCTGGAACCTCTCAGCTGTATGTTTACAGGCTCAACCAAGACTCTGAGGTATTCTGAGCTTTCTCTTTGTGAGCAATGTTGAATGTAATGGTGCATGTTTGTGGGAGGGTTTGTGGCGGAAGTCTGGTAAAGGGCCACGCAACTTGGTGGTGGCTGGAACCTCTCAGCTGTATGTTTACAGGCTCAACCAAGACTCTGAGGTATTCTGAGCTTTCTCTTTGTGAGCAATGTTGAATGTAATGGTGCATGTTTGTGGGAGGGTTTGTGGCGGAAGTCTGGTAAAGGGCCAGTATTAAAAACCTAGTTGAAACTTATAATATACAAAAATAAATGTATTTATAGAAAGACAGTTAAAAACAGGGGTCTCGAACTCATTTGTTATGAGGGCAGGATCTGACATAAATGAGACCTTGTTGGGCCAGGCCATGTGTGTCATAAAATGTAATGCCAGGAAGTGGAGATATAAACTTTGAAAAGGACACAAACACAAAGATTTTTTTTCTTCAAATTAAAAACATGCTCCAAACATTAGCTCTGTAAGCTGCAAACCCACTTTTGATTTATTGACATTCAGCACAGAAATCTCATGCTCAGAGCTCTGAGTCTAGGACCAGGGTTAGAACATGAAATGGCTGAGTGATTGAGAGAGTCTGGTGAAACAAGCGGTGATGCAGCAGCGGCAGCAGAACTGGAAGCAGGAGATGGCCAGTTCCATTGAGAGCCTGATAGAAGCCCTCCGGGGGCTTCATCCAGCCCCCAGGCCGCATGTTTGACACCCCTGGTTAAAAACATACAAGGGCCCAATGAGAGCCTTGTTAAAAAGTTCAAGTGGCCTCAACACAAGGGCCAATACACATGACCTGACGCGTTTCCGCCCTATTGGGGCCTTCTTCAGAGGTCAAACAGTATTGAGGTACATGTACATGAGAACATAAAAACATAAGAGATGCCAATGTTGGATCAGGCCCATCCAGTCCAACACTGTCACACAGTGGTCAAAAACACCAGGTGCTATCAGGAGGTCCACCAGTGGGGCCAGGACATTAGAAGCCCTCCCACTGTTGACCCCCCAAGCACCAAGAAGACAGAGCATCACTTGCCCCAGAGTCCCTATCTATTCCTTGTGGCTAATAGTCACTGATGGACCTCTGCTCCATATGCTTATCTAATTCCCATGCTTGTAACCGCCACCACTTCCTGTGGCAGTGAATTCCATGTGTGAATCACTCTTTGGGTGAAGAAGTACTTCCTTTTATCCGTTCTAACCCGACCGCTCAGCAATTTCATGGAGTGCCCACGAGTTCTTGTATTGTGAGAAAGGGAGAGAAGTACCTCTTTCTCTACCCGCTCTTTCCCATGCAGAATCTTATAAACCTTGATCATGTCCCCCCTCAATCGTCATTTTCTCCAAGCTAAAGAGCCCCAAGCGCTTTAACCTTTCCTCATAGGGAAAGTGTTCCAACCCT